TTACATTACCCCCTCAACCAAACAGAGTAAATTGTTTAGAGGAGAATTCAGGCAGCACATAAGCCTTTTAAGGAGTTATCAAAATGCATTCTCTGTCTGAGTGTGCATGTGCTTCACAGTGGGCCTATACACTTGGCTATCTGTTGTGAGGTTCCTTGCTGGTAAATGGCTTCACAGTGGACTACCCACAGCTTTTCTCAGCGCTGGAATTGTTATCTTTTTTTCTCTTATTTTCTCATTTTCATATTAATTCATTGCCATATTTTGACTTATGAAAACATTGTGAAAATGTAAACTGGCTTAAAAGCTTAAAAGTGTCTCTGCCTGATGTGCAAAAGCAGGGTATTCCACATATCATTCAAATCAAATTGCATTTATATTATATATATAATTATTATATATAAAATGAAAATACCTTTCATTCATGATATTGTTTTGTGCAATTGATACGGTCCATTGCCCACCAGTCATTGATTTGTAGCCGCTGCTGTTCAAACTTCTATCAGTAAACACTGAATTCCACTGGTGAATGCAAAACAGAAATGCAGATTTGTTTCCACAGTCAGCTGCAGTGATTGGATTTGACCAGTTCTTTGGAATCAAACAAACAGCTCTGCCAGATAGCTTTGCTTCTTCAACAAAACAGAGTGAATTGTTCAGAGGATAATTTATGCCTTGCATCGCCCTAACAATGAGTAACTAAAATGCATGCCTTTAGAGAGAGAGAGGAGGGGGGTGGTTGGGGATGATTCTTTCATGAATTTCCAGACTGCTTGTTGCATAATATCTATAAATATTAGTTCTGGAATCATTTTCATAACTCAGCTTGCCATTTTAATGCATGCTGAATCTTTTCTATAATGAGAACTAAAGCAGGGATTCACACTGGGCCAAATGAAGAAGACTAGCAGACAGGGCGAGTCAATGAAGTAATATGAAATGAATTGTATTGTTTTGCCTATTTGGAGGGCAATTGGAAATTGCACCATGTGACTGGGACATGGACTCAGTTTTCATATCTGCACCTGCTTGTGACAATGAAATTCTGTTAAAATGCTCTATACCAAATATAAGTATGTTACCAGATATAAGCAATGCCCTCTAATTGTATTTCACAGTAGTCATTTTGAATAGAGTCATTGTAATGTATTGGATACAGCCAGGAAATCAGAATTTAACATCAAAACTTGCAGTATAAACAAGGCCCTATATTCACGCACTATACATATTCATAAACAAGCTCATTCTGAAATTGTTGAGCAGCTATAATCACAAAAAAATTTACAAATAATGTTGTTTTGAATGAGTTGTTTGTTTCTCAAGTGTAGTTTTCTATATTTTGTCAAACTATTGTTTATTCTGTGGTTAGTTTTTTTTCCATTTTGTGTCATTAGGGCCATGTTGTGAGCTATGTTTAATTTTACTTGTATAAATGCTCTGTATTTTGCAAAAAGTAGATATTAAGAAATCTATCCTAATATCAGATTGTTTGAGTGTGTAAAAAAATATATTTATTGATAGCAACTTTCTGGGAGTTTGAATTGGCAATGTCAATATTATTTGATATATTGTAAGAATTGTACCTTTGTATGGTATGAGATACATGAGACTATTATAGCCTTTTAGACACATTTTTTTACATTAATATCATATACATTATAGTACTATCTACTACGTGTAAAATTATTCACATATTTTTTTATATGTTTTTGTGAATTAATAATGAATAGTGTCGCAGGAGTTAATGTTGTTTATAATATACCAACTAAATACAGCATTTACAAGTAAAAATATGATCTCAATAGGTTTAGTGTTATAGAATAGCTTTGTTTAATCCGTAGTTGCTACAGATTGAATAAAATACTCCAAAGATGCTGAGTCTGAATTACTGCTTTGGATTAAATGCAAAAATACTAGACTGTTGTTGACGGATAGACTAATGGACAGACAGACTAGTTTATATTTTTATATTTTAATAAAATAAAAATAAATCAACATTAGGTTTCTAAGTTCTTAATATTCATGGAACCTGAACTCGACTGAATCTGTTATTCATGCAAGCCAGGCATAATCTTGAGATACCCCTTGATGGAGGCAAATCGATAAGCCTCAAGCTGCAGTTCAGAATGATGGAAAATGCTTGTGGGAAAAATCTGCCTTCAGCTTCAATTGTTTTATTGCTGGGATGATAATTCATAAGATCCAGCTGTGAAGCTCTAGGGGATTCACATCAGTGCTGTATCCACTCAGCATCTCTTCCAAAACTCCTCGAAATGATTCAAAACCAATCCGATATTTCTGATCAACTCCGCCAGAATCTAATCTTCCTGACCCCTCTGGCAAACCATATTGATTTCTTTACTACTTGAGAAAAAATGAAGCCTAGCCATATGAGACAAAAGGTTTATATTAGTATTAATGCACTCTTTCTTAATAAGAACTTAAGCTCTTTTTATAATTTGCTCTTTTCATAAAAAAAGTAATCTGTCAATGATTGCAGGGAGTTTTTAAAGAGTTTTTATCCATGTATATCTACTGTCTACGCTGAGGAAAATTATTTGACCAACTTCTTATTTGGGAAATTATTGATGTAATCAGTTTTTAAATGTGAGCTTTATTTAAACAATGAATAAGAACCTTACTAAAAGTGCAGAAAAATTAATGTTCATTGATATTAAAACAAGAGATACAACTAGAGCTAGATAGGCATTCCATTAGCAATATATCATTCATAGCAGACTTCAAAATCTTATCCATCCAATCAGAGCAGGGTAGCGACATTTGACTAATTAAAGCAGAGTTGCTGTGGGTATTTACAAACTATTTACATTTACTACATTTGCTTAATTCAATATTTCTCGTAACTATCACTTTAATTCAAACTTTTATTGAACATAAACAATATTTTAGATCAACAGACCAAAGCGACATTCTAAAGTGGGATGCTTTGATGCTCCCTATAATCTCTATATAAAATCCAGTAAATTTGGAGTACATTTTTAATCTGGTACTTTTTACAAAATCTTACCCATGAAAATAATGTGATAGTTACTTTTAATCCTACTCAACTTAATATATTTACAATTAATATTACTCTACCAAGCTCTGGTGACAAATAGGACCACCTATCATATCTGAGTATCGTCATCTAAGTCAACTAAGTGACTTATTAAAGTGATTTAAACAAATACAAACTTAATTTTTTTTCTGCAGGATACAGGGGATCCAAATTTTATCTGATTACAGTACTCTTAAGAATCCAAGCAGCGAAATAATCTCATAAATAGTTGCAGGAAAGGGTCAACCAACCAAAATATATATGACCAATCAGAGCAGAGAAAGCAGAGCTGCTTATTTGCATGCAAGGTGTATTTGACAAGCAGCTTTGACATCATTCACATTAAGAACCATCATTCGGCAATTCAAATCAGACGCCAAAAAATCTCCAGTAAAACTAAAATTAAATTAGACAGGGTTACTTGAAAAGGCCAATGAATTTGGGAAATCCTTTGCTCTCCCTGTACATCCAACAAATGACTTAAACTGCTCAGTCAAGGATAGCACTTCCTTCAGGCAAACATTGTGGGAGTTCACATATTTATAACTCACTGAACCATTTGAAAGAAATAAAAGCTCATATACGGTGAAAGCTAAAGGTTAATGAATAGGAGCAAGCATGAGATATGTGAGGGGCTATGCCAATTCAAAGTATGTGGGCAGAAAACCGACCCTTTGTGCACTGACTTGAATTGGAATGGTTTTTCATCTTTTTTTTTAAGCCTAACCTCTCAGTTAAGGTCAGTTAATTATATAGCGGCCACAGATTTAAGAACCCAATAATTCTGAAGATCGGCCCACGTCATTGATTTCCATGCATTTCACAGCCCTCTCTAGCAGCATGGTCCTAATAATTATTCACTTTTAGGGAGAAGGATTATTCTATTATATATTCCTTTGGATCACTGCTGTCAATCACTGTTCAATTGACACATCAAGTGACCCAATGGCATGAAGAGTGGAATGCAACAATGCACTTACAACCTTAGTGAGAATGTAATACATTTAAATGCAATGACATAAACACAGCAGATTAACTACCATTTCATTGAACTTTTATCTTTTATACTGTAAGGGTTCACTTTATTTTATATTTAAGTCCAGTATTCCCAGAGTTCTCTGGAATCCAAGTGAGGTTGTAATCCTGACAGGAAGGTCTTTCCAGGTGAGTATCGTCCACGAAGCATGAATCGGTCTTTAAGCTGCCGATAATGTTCAAACACCAACAGGTGAGCTCTTCAGGTTTTCGAGAGTGTCGGGTGACAGAGTGGAGTACAGGTAAGTAGCGCAGGTTGCATTCACATGGAATAGCCACGAGGAGTACGGAAAGTAATAGAAGGAATACATTCATTGATAGACAATGCATTCTGAGAGAAGTCTTTTATTCCGGTTATGCACGGGCTGATTGGGAGATGAGCAGATTATGTCGAGGTGAGAATTATTGAGCAGTGCCATGGGTACTGGCAAAGTGGCTGAAAGTATCCAAAAGGGAGGTTTTTAGAGTGATGGAATAACCCAGAACACATAAGAGAGCACGGAGATCCAAGAAGGCGTGAATGGATCATGGAGAGTCAAGGTGCATGAACCGAATTGACTGAAAGTGAAAAAAAGGAAAGGAAAAGGAAGATAAACGGGAAGAGAAGATGACAATGGGACACCAATTGGGTTAAGAAGAAACAAGGACGTTAGACACATATGATTAACAGAGGGATTAGGTTCATCAGAGAAATTATGGAAACGGAAAAAAGAGGGAAACACAGAATCACAAATCTGACAATAAATAAATCGCATAGTCAAGAATTAAAATATACATTGTCCTATTTTATATTGATGCTGGAATTCCTGCTCTCTTCTTCTGGGACCAGTGGATTTAAGACAAGAAATTCCTTAAATGTGTTATTTGGTAATATTGTGTAGTTACTATTAAATGTTTAGCAAAATGTAACATCAGTGCTGCAGTGGGTAGCACTTCTGCCTCTAAGATAGTAGGTCGCTGGTTCAATGCCAGCCAGTGTTCTTCCTGGTGCATGTTCTCCACATACTTGCATGGGTTTTTCTGGGGTACTCTCAATTTTGTTTAGGAGTGAATGCATTAGTGTTGCCTTGACCGGCGACCTGTGAACTGGAGAGTTAATGAAAATTACATGTAACATCTTTTCTCATTTTATTCTCTTTACACAAACTGCAGCTTATTCCTTCTTTTGTGTGACTATTCACCACAGTGTGGGTTGTAAAATAGTATAATGCTGAACAATAAAATCAATGCATGCTTGGTAGATTCTTAATAATGCAATGCTTTTTGAAAACAAATATAATAAACATTATTAATTATTTATTTTCTTATTTTATTTATTTATTTTTTTTCGATGAGGGCATATTTTAAAGTGAGAGCGATGCTCGGCATAATCCCTCTGTTTCCTGGAATCGATGTGACATTTGGAGAACACTTTGCACTCACTGGGTCACTCTCAATGTATGCCCGTCATAAACAATAATCATAATTTCTGCATTGCTGAGTATATGACGAGAGAGTCGTCTCTCTTCCTGAATCTCCTCATCCTTCTCAGAGTCAGCTTGGCGCTCTCACTCTTTTATTTAGGAAGAGATGAAGATCCCAAAGGAGTGGGATGCTTTAAGAATCTGTGATTAATGAAACATTGATCATAAATGTTATAGGGGAACAGGAAGACTTGTCACTTTCTATTTGGACCCAAGAGGAAGCATGCAGAGGGCGGAGGAGGACACAAGTGAGGCAGCGGAGATTGCAATGTTTGAAAAGGAGGCTGTTGAGTGTGTCTTTTGAAATTGTTTGAATTCTTATTATGTTGACTCTCAGAAGGAATGTGAGGGTTTTTTTTTAATGATCTGGTCTATTTTTTATGAATCAGTTGTACATGTCCTTGCAGTCCTTTCTGTGTGGACTGAAGAGTTCTGTGTAGCATTTACCACTGAGTTCTTCTGAAACTAAAATATTGCTTTCAATATACTAATTGTATTTATTCTAAAAAAAAAAAAACTATATTGATTCAAATCGATCAGTTCTCTCAAAAAGATCCAATCTGAAAATGGTGGCTCATGCAATCCAGGGAGGGATATGTTGCTCAACCACTCCGCTCCTCAGTTTCCTCTAACTCTTCAATAATCATCACATCTTATAAGCCCAACTTACTCGCAGCTCCTGAAATGCATGGTTAATTCACATCCTTATATGAAGGCTGTGGAGAAATCGTAATTCTTAATTCAAATACATCTCCACCAAACCCACCTACTCCATAGTGTACACATGGCGAGAAACTTCATCCTCTTCACTATTAATCATCTATGCTTCATGTATTTATGGATTGTAAATATGTGACTTTTGTTGTAACAATCTATTTTCGTATTCTGTGTATTTTGGTAAGTTTTGTGTATACACAGTGGTTTTTTTATCAGATCCCATTCCTGTGTCATCACTGACATCACTTCCTGTTTCATCACTTCCTTTTATAGACTTGTCCCTCTCCTATTGGCTCCGTGTTCCTGAAACATTTACAAGGTCCATTCTTTTCAAGAAAAAAGAACAAAATTTATAACAGTTTTTTTTTAGTTTGTTTTTTTGTCACTCAAGCCTTTTTTCCAATTTCAACCAATTAATATTGGTTATTTACATGTAGGGTATAACCATTGATTGGCTTTATATAACATGGATGAAGCGTCATTGATGTCACTTGGCTCAAAGTGGGGCGTCACCAGCCATCGCCTTGGTGAAAGTGCACCACTTACCGGTAATCTAAGAAGCAACTTTACAACACAAGAGTAGCCAAGTTCATCAGATGAAATTAGCTGACACCAGATGATGACAGGCTGAAAGAACTGTCAATCATCTGCCCCTCAAGAAACTACACACTTCAATTATGAATAACTTTAGGCTTAAGAAATCTTAAACCAGGTGACCTTCCTGGAAGGAGTTTACATGTTCTCCTCGTGCTTGCGTGGGTTTCCCCCACATCCCCCCAAAAACACGAGGTTAGGCTAATTAAATAATCTAAATTCCCCTTAGGTGTGATTGTGTTAGTGAATGTTGTCCTGTGATGAACTGGCAACCTGTCCAGGGTGTACCCCTGCCTCTCGTCCATTGTGCGCTGGAGATTTGGAAATTCCCAAAAAGGGAATAAGAGGGGTGGAAAATGAATGAATGAAATCTTTAACAAAAAAAAAAAAAAAAACATGTTGGTCAAATTTAGAGATCTAAAACAAAACTAGTGGAGCCAGGGGTGGAAATATGAGTTTTTATGATTTTTGAGCTCCAAATTTGGCAATTTTGATATTAGAGTGAATGAGAACCTGCTCTGTTTTGGAGCCAGTCTCTAGGGGCTGGTAGAGGAATAGCAGTTCATTCCTATTCCGCAATGCGAGAGAAAGCCGGAGGTTGTCCCTGTGGTGTAGCTAAATCTAAGTATTAGGTTAAATTAATGACTGCCAATGTTTTGTAGTGTTTTACCTGAAAACAAACAGAAGATATTGAACACAAAACACCAGCAACAAGAGGCTGACAGTTAGAGTGCCTTTGGGTAGAACTCTCATGTTTGAATTCTTTTTATTAACTTTAATACAGTCAAAGCAACACAGTGTCCTGACTTACATACATATGATATATATATATACATCCCTTGGAGATATTCTCCCTCCCCTATTATGGATATGGTAATAATCATACAGCCCCACCTTCATTCCTACTAACCGTTACCAGTCATGCATGAAATATAATAATAATGATTATTCTTTTGTGCTTTTGTTCTGGCAGCAAAAGTGTCCGTCTCACAGGAGTTGTATTTGTTATTCATCTTGCTAGTAATGACAGTCCTGCATTTTCTCTTGTTTCAGCTCCACACAAACAGAAGATATTGAACGGAAGAAACCAGCAGCGAGAGGCTGACACAGTATCAATGCCTTTGGGTGGAACTCTCATGTTTGAATTGATGAGATGAAGACAATAAAATAAACATGGTCTATACCAGCATTCTGAACATCCACTGACAGTTAGTGGCAAACGTTGAGGAGTAGACAACATCAGCAACTCTAGACCTGAATATTAATACAAGAAAGAAACAATAAAAAAACTGTGCTCTACTGTATCTGTCTGGCAGCCTTTTGAGAGGATGTGGACTCTTATAGAATGATGCTGTATATCAAAACCAAATGTACAAACACTTACCCCATCTCTTTAACTCCGCAACTGATGGAGGATTCAAAGCACATACATGGCATCTTAATGTACCCCCATGTTCACTTTCTGATTGAGGTTTGTGCGCTGTAGTTGAGTTCGGCTTAGCAAATCATGAACAGACACAAGCACACACTTAAAAATCAACTCATGTCTGTAAGTGTCCCCCCTGAGGCGATTTGAAATAATTGATGCACTAAGCGCTAAAAAGAAAAAGGCAAAAGAGGAGAGTAAGAGGATTGAAGCCATCAGGAAGGAAACAATGACGTGTGGACACACAAACAAAAAAAATACAAGAAAGAAGAAAGAAAGAACACAATCTTGGAGCAGAAGGTCTCTGGCTAATTTCGTCAGCAGAACCCTGTGATGCAAGTTCCTTTGAGACACAGCGCAAGCCTGGAGCTGCGTTTGATGAAATAAGATTGGCATCAAATGTGTGCCAGAGGAGTCAAGGAAATGGACTGAGAGAAACAGCCATTGTTGAGCCAAACCCGGCTTCGCCATCTCTGCATTTTCATCAAATCTCTTGGAAACCAGAACAAAGCGATGTTAGCAGCTGAGAGCAAAGGTCATTGCTGTCTAATGCCAGTTCTCGAATTTGGCATGGGTTTGCTTATCCATCCTGCATCTGCTCTCAGACACTACATGGCATTAGAAACCTAGAGCAAATGTTTCCATCATCCCAGCTGCACTTCTGACCAAGTGCAAAAGAAGATTGGTTTTGCTTAGTTGGATGCAGCACTCTTGGTTGAAAAGGTGCCCTTTATATTTGTATCTGAGTGTCAGCTTTGAGGAGTCATTAAATCAGTCACAAAGACATACAATACTGCGTGAAAATGTTAGGCAGGGGTTATCAAAGAATATTTTGTAAAATGGAAGGGTTAAATGGAAGGTTCAGTTCTTCTAGATGCACTTCAATACAAAGTTTAAAACAAACTTTTCCCACATTGAAATTCTGTTGTTGATCACTAACAAGTATTGTTTCAAAATATTAGTTTTGCAATTAAAATCATGCCTGATGCGCCTTTAAACTCACATTGGTAGCAGAGATTGGATATTACTCACCCATAATTAATCTTCCTACAAAGCTGTTTCTGTTTCAGTTCATGACTAGATTTTAACCTACTTGTGACATTGATGATCTTTGACAATTGGTTGATAATGCACCTGACTATAATTCTACACAATCCCAGTAACACCAAATATTTTTTGGTGTATAAAAAAAGGAATATATTTCTGAAATCATTCTTTGTTTACAGATTTTTTCACACCTGATTCACTGGTCACACTCTTAAAATCTTTGAACGTGGACTTCTGGGCAATGTGAAAGCAAAAGCTCCTACCTACATGTTGCAATTCAAGATTCTGTTCCGAATCAGGTGATGGGACTTGAGCCACCAGATTAGAGAGGTCAGATGCATGAGCTTTTTCAAGACTCATTATGAAGCAAATGTAAGTTTTTTTTTTAAATAAAATTATTACATTTTTTTAAGCAATGCTGTTTAGTGGGTAGGCTCAAAACAGACGCAATTAGATACAATGGCTATCCACATTGTTTGGGAGTAGTGTAACTTCCCTATAACATATTGCACAAAACCAGTTCATCTCGATGAAAAAAGAATGTAACAAAAAAAAAACAATTTCAAAACATTTAAATGAGTGGGGTATTCTGCTTTTTGTATGTGTGATTATTTCATGTTGACTGGGATCTCACATAAAACACCCTTTTTCAATTGCAGCTTTGTACTGTACGTATGTATGTGGGGATTTTGTATTGTTTTACCAAGGTTTTGCACATGAGAGATTCATTTTAA